GCGGGCTACTAAAATAAACTGAAATCTAAATAAACTGATTTTTTAAACTTCAAAGTGATTTTTTAATATTTTTATGACTTTTTTATAAATAATTAATGAATCCAGATCAACTTTTATGTATTATTGTATAAAAAATAAAAATAAAAATGGTATGAATTAACGTATATATTTGATAAAACCAACAACTTTGGTTGCAAAGTTATAACTAAACATTATAATTAGTGATCAAAGAATTTGATACATAAATGGATGGAAATAAACTTCGATTTTTTCAATTAAATTCATTAAAAACATACCATAAATAATTTTTCGAGAAATTGACGATACTGTATTAAATAATGTTTTACAAAATTTGGCAAAAAAAATATAAGAATATATTATGATTTTTTTTTCATATTTATATAAACAACTTCAACGACTATTATTGTAATAAATCTTTATTTATAAATTTGTCAAAAATATCATGTGTGTATCGTCGAACGATTTTTTTTTAAGTTTTGTAATTTTTTTTCAAATTGCTTATCATTAATAAAGTTGGAAAAAAATATAAATTAAAAAAAACTTAAAAAAAATAAAGATATATATGTTTTTTTAGGTTAGAAGATGTCTGAAGATGTTAGAAGACTCTGGTCCATATCTATGCCAAGAAGAGGGCGTGCAGACATTTTTAGGTCTGCAGTCTTCACAAAAACAAACAGTCTGCGAAGGCTAATGTCTGCGCGTGGTCTACGCGGCGCAGACAAAAGAGGCCACGCAGATCTGCAAACAAAAAACAAACACTACCTTAATGTTTGATTAAGTGATTGTTTGATGGGATTCCGTTATACGATTCCAATAACAATAATATAAATAATAATACTTGTCATTTCAGTTTGGGTTTTTATGCAAAAGAGTGGTTTTGACTTTTTAGAATTGGTGGTTTTGACCCAAATTCTAGGTGCGAATAGCAACACCCCATATGTGGTGGTGGGTGCCACATCATCACCACATTCCCCTACCACTAAATGGGATACCTACCACTAACACACCACTCCACATTATTATTATTATTATTTTAATTCAAAAATACAATAAAATTACATTTTTTATAATTAAAAAACATTCATTTTTTTAAACTAGTTTTTCATTAATTATAAAAATAAAATTACAACTTCAAACTACGTTACTTAATTAATCTAGAAAAAAAACATTACATTAATTAAAAAAACAAACAAACATACATATACAAAAAACTAATCGTCGTTCATGTTACGTTGGTACAAATGTTCCGCGACATCTTCTCGAAGATTGAAACACGTTTCACTGTTATGAATTTCAACAACTCCCTCTAAAAACTCATTCGTTCCGGGTACGAACTCCTCAATTGGAATGACAACGTCGTTCAGATTATACGTGCAAATCGTTCGACCTTCATCTTTAATAATCATATTATGCATTATAATACATGCTAGGACCATTCGTTTAATTCTTTCTTTATCCCAGAGTCGTGTAGCATATTTCACTACATGTCATGTCTGCTTAAGGACTCCAGATGCCCTCTCGATATCCTTTCTCGCCGATTCCTGTTTTTTTGTAAACAACTTTGCATTTTCACTTCGAGGAACCGAGAATGCCTTCATCAATGTAGAATAATCCGGGTATATCACATCACCAAGGTAGTAACCGTATTTGTACGCGTGCCCGTTCACCGTGAACGTCATATCAGGTACTTTGCCGGTCCAAATATCGTTGAAAAGTGGAGACTGGCCAAGAACATTAATGTCGTTGTTAGACCCCGCTACTCCAAAAAAAGGCATGCCATATCCACAAATCTTGAGATGCAACAACTTCTAGGATGATAATTGGTTCACCTATATCTCCTCGAGTGAACTGACAACGCCATGCATTTGGACATTTTTCCCAAGCCACATGCGTACAATCTAGACTGCCAAGCATACCCGAAAATCCATGCCTCTCTTCATGAGCCGAATATAATCTCTCAATATCACGTTGAGTAGGTTTGCGCAAATATTGTTCGTAAAAAACCTTATACACACATGCAGAAAACCAATCTACACATTCAACTGCGGTCCTCTCGGATACTTTCAAGTATTCGTCAGATGCATCAAATGTTATACCGTATCCCAAATACCTAAGAGCAGCCGCACATTTTTGTATACTACTAAAACCCTTCTTCCTCTAGCGTTGGGTTTTGTTTGAAAAAATAATAACGAGATTCTAAAGCATTGCTAATACGTAAAAATATAGCTTTATTCAGACGGAAACGACGTTCGAACGAGTCGTCATTATAAAGACAATTATCGGCAAAGTAAGTGCGGCTTGGCGATCACGATTGACGACCGCCCTTGTACGAGCAACATTCGAACTTTCTTCGTCGTGAATGTGTTGCACAACGTTGAAGAATGTCTCGAGGAATTCTACGTCGTCATCCGAGTCAAAAGTTTTTAAGAATTCCATATGTTTTGTGGAATCCATGTGTTTGTGTTTTGTTGTTTTAGAGAATGAAGGTTAGAACGAAGGTGTAAGTTTTGGTGAAAATAGAAGGTTTATTGTATTGAATTGAGTTTGAAAAAAAAAGCCAAATAGCTGTTCAACGGTCGAGAAAGCAAACACCAATCATCTTTTCCGTTTGAATTCGTCGTCGGGAACACGAACGATAACGACCACGCCCGACCACGATGCGTCAGGGTGGTGTGCACGGATTTTTCTCGTGGCGACATGGACCACGGATGCTCTCGTTGAGAGTATACCGGAAGGTCTTATGGTAAGAAATGTCCTCCGCCACTACTACCATTCAAGGATGTATACCAAACCAACTAACACAATAAAATATATACTCAGTCTATCACTGTTTATTTTATGGTTTGACTATTTTATTTCAATTTTTTTTACTAAAAAGTTTAATATTTTTTTCTATATTACTATTTTGACCTGCTATGCAAAGTTTAGTTTCATAAGTTTAATTTTAATCATTAAATTTTAACAAAAAAGAAATATTATAACCACTTTCATCGACGAAAGTTAAAGCACAAAAAACTCAAAATATACGTTTAAATGCTGCAATCTATAGTCGTTTTCTGTACGAATAAAATCATTTTCAAAACAACCACTATCGTATATCTTGAGCCCATACCACAAGTCATGGTCATGACGGAAAAATGGGACTTGTCATCAAACCCCCTCATAGTTTAAAATTCTATAAATATTAAATACAAAACAAATCACATTTAACCCCAAAATTAACATTTTTCTTCCATTTTACTCCAACACATAATTTTATTTTAATTTATTTTCTTTTTAATGTTGCACTGCTCTACATATTTTTTTACTTGATTGTTTGTTAATTAATATTCTGAATTTTACATTTTAAATAAAAATTAAAAAAAATCCATTAGGCTTGAGGGAGTGGCTCGCCACCCCTCTCGCCTTTTAACTCGCTATGAATGTTGGGACCACTCATTTCAAGATGCTAAAACATTTGTCATAATTCTCTCGCCATGTATATAGCGAGATGAGAGAAGAGAGAGAAATTCAGATAGTAAGTTTTTATTGGTTGAAACTTTTTCTTTTCTTATTTTTTATATTTTTTTCTAAAATAAAACACATTCAAGTAACACGCCACCACTTCTTACATTTTGTAGTTTAAATGCTATCATTTTCTTCGTGGCTTCAAAAAATTTAACATGACATTAAAAAAATTTGATGTGACAACATAAACATGTTACCGCTCCCTTCAGTCTTAAAAGAAGGGCCCAACCCTTCAGTCTTAAAAGAAGGGCCCAACTTTCCATATATTGCCGTTGTAATTTGCTTTTAAAGTGGGGTCAAAATCCTGATGCTAAACTTTATCTTTTATTTTTATATTTTATATTTTGTTTTACGACGAACTACGTCTAACAATAAAATAAAATTATAAACCCTATATAATTTCTTTTCGTAGAAAAGTAAATATAATAAAATAACAAAAAGTCACCTAATCCTAGATATAAAGTCGTCATAAACCTCCATTTTAATGCTACACGACACTCTGAAAAATTCTTACTCATGGAAGAATCTGTTAATTTCGTCAAAGGATACGGCAAAGTTAACCCCTCCGACGACGAAACAACTGCCGTTCCATGCCAATCTCCCTCACCGAAACGCCGTAAAACCGTCGCTGCCGTCATTACTCTAGGCCTCTTCGCAATCATTGTCGGATCAATAGTTGGAGCTGCGGAGGTTCATCATCGGCGCACCAAATCACCGGAGCCCCAATCTTCTTCAGTCAAGGCGGTAGCTTCCATCAAAGCCGTGTGCGCGGTAACGCAACATCCGGAGTCATGTTTCACCGACGTCTCCACCATCGATTCCGGTAACTTTTTCGATCCGGAGGTGATTTTCAACCTCACGCTCCGGCTAGCGATCAACGAGCTCACGAACATCTCGTCGTTGCCTAAAACCCTAATTTCGAAGTCGCACGATCTACGAACCGGTTCTGCGTTGCGAGACTGTGCGACTCTGTTCGATGACGCGTTGAGTCAACTCAGTCGGTCGGTGGAGGCTATGCATGTGGGGCCTGTCGGCGGGGAGAAGTTGTTGACGGAGGAGAAAGTGGCGGATATGAAGACGTGGATTAGCGCTGCGATGACGGATCAGGAGACGTGTGTGGATGGATTGGAGGAGATGGGATCGACGGCGGTGGATGAAGTGAAGTCGAGGATGCAGAGATCGAACGAGTACATGAGCAACAGCTTAGCAATACTAGCTAATATTGAAACCATACTTGACCAGTTTGGGCTTCGTCTGCATTGATATTCACGATATTGCCATTGAATGTAATTTTGTGTTTGTAATTATTTTTTCTTTTTAATATTTTGAGTAACGTTGTTGTAAAACAAAAAGTAAAATATACAAAAAAATAAGTGTTCTGAAGTTTCTTTTATATTAGTTTCTTGAGTTTCTTTTCTCCAAAAACCGTAAAAACTTTACCTCGGTTAAAAATATTAAATATGCACACCAACTGAATTAATGTTGCATAAATTATACATATCAAAGTGGTTGTGTTTAAATGCAAAAAAAAACTTATATTAAATTATCAATAACAAATGATAAATTTCACAATATAGTTAGTTCTTATACTATTCGTCAACATTATATATACTAATTAGTATAGCGTGGATTGAAGCGTTTTAGTGTATATTTTAGTATAAAAACAAATATTTAGTGTAGATTTTAGTATAAAAGTTAATATAGTATGTGGTTGGAAATGCCTATTGGCTCATGACTTTTTTTTGTACAATTTATTTTTTGCCAATATATATATTTTTCTTTGTAACAAAATATCTGAGAAAAAACAAATTTTCTTAAATTACAAAATAAACATAGTAATACTTGAGTCCACAAAAATGCCTATACGGATTCGCCATTCATTCTGTGAACTAATCAATTCTCCTACGGACTCCTCAAAATTAACCGCCACTCCGTTTGTTGATCATATTTTTTTTCTTTGTAAAATTGATTCTAAAAAATTAAAGTTCTTAAAATTTTATTCTATATAAAATAAATAAAGTTATGAAATTAAAAGAATATATATAATTATTATTTTGATATTTTATATAAACCAGAAAATTTCATTATCCAGATTTAAATCATATCAAATTAAATATTATAAATATATTAAATCATAACATTTTACTTTACATAACTTATGAGTATAATGCACACTGTTACATAACTTATAAATATAGTGCATAGTGTCCATATATTCTCATAGCGTTAACCTAATAGTATTGAGGTGGAGATATCTACGGGTGTTATTCGGTCGGTTTTTTTCGGTTTTCGGTTTATACGGTACGGTTTTATCGATTTTTTTACATCTTAAAACTAACCATAACCAAACCAAATAAGGTTCAGTTTAATCGGTTTTGATTAATTCGGTTACAGTTTATTCGGTTGGATTTACCGCTTAAACCAAATAAAACTTCGCATGTAACAATAAATATTAAGCTAAAAGAAAAAAAACATACTAAACTTTTATCAAATGAAAAAAAACTGATACATAACATATTATATTCAGTCTTTCATGATATGTTATGTTAAAGTATCGATGTAACCACACAACTTGTAGATGCGAATTAATATAACTTTAGTCGTATATAAAAAAGAAAAATGACCAACGGTTAATTGACATTTGGCTAATTAGTTGTACTTTATTACAATCTATAAACAATTATAAATTTATAGTGGTTAATAATTAAATAATGAGTTATGAAAATATTTTTTAGTGACTACATATTTATTTAAATACAAAATGTTAAATTATAGATGTAAACTATAAAAATATATATTAATTAAATAGTTTATTCCGTAGTTTCGATTGAATCAAAATCATAAAAATTTAACTACAACCAAACCAAATAAAGTATCCTTATTAAGTTAACCAAACGAAATTAACCAAATAACCTAAACCAAATAACCAAATAGACCAAACATCATTTAGTTCGATTTGTTTATTCGATTTTGGTTTTTTATCACACCCTAGAATATACTTCACAATTTACTAAAAGAATACTTTTAGAAAAGAGTCAATAATATTCCAATAAAAATCAGCAAATGAAATAGAAGGAAGTGGATATCACGTCTTTTAAGATCGTGGAAGATTTTCATTTGTTGATAAAAGTTATTTAAAGTGTCATGAAAATGGACTTTATATTAAATAACAATTTCCTCACGCATGCCCAATTATTTAATGGAAAATTGATTATCAGGTAATTGCTTTTTTGTTTTGTTTATTGCTGAATAACTTTTT